CCGGGCGAGCCCATTCTGCGGCCGCAGAGGGGGAAAGAGGGAAACCGGGCAGGGGCCCGGGGAGACAGGGCCGCTTCCGCCCGTCCTCTGCAGGAAGCACGAGGTCTCCCCTCAAAACTGGCGCCTTCGAGGGCTCACGCTTCCCCGCTCCCCAACACTCAATCCCCCCACTTCCTCTTTGCGCTCTCCCGTTCCCTTGGCAACGGCCGGTGACCTCACCCAGCTTGTAAGCCGAGCCCAGAGTGAAGTCACCGCTGTTGCCATGGGGACGCAGGGGTCGCCAAGGAGTTCGGCCCCCCCAAGGGATGAGGGGAGGCGGGTTAGTATGTGAAGGGGCCGTGAGGAAAACTGGGAAAACCTTGGCTAGGCGAGGGACTGCGGGAGGGCCGCAGTGCGGAGAGCGGACCCGAACCCGAGAGCGGCCGGCAGGGGCGCGCGGAGGTGGGGGGGAGCGGGAGCACCTGGCACCCGGCAGTGCACCCGCGTCCTCCCGGCCCCTCCGGCCCCGGTCCAGACCCCTCCGACCTGGGATTTCCCCTCAACTAAACGCACCCGAGAGTCAAGCCCCGTTCTACTGACAGTTCTAGCTCCTCCACTAATTCCTGGTACCTTGGACAGATCCCGCCCCTACGTCACAGTGGATGGGGGACAACATTGCCTCCCAGCTCCCCACTCCCCGCACTGGGAGGTGTGTGCAAAAGCTCCTGCAGCTGCCGGAGGCCCCCCGGGTGCACCCCTAGCTAGTGCGGCCTGGGGGCTCTGGCTATTTGGAGGGGCCCCGTCCCCAAGGCTCTGCTTGTGCAGGTGCAGGACAGCAGTGAGAGACCAGAGCAGGTGCAACCTCAGAGAAGCGAGTGGGGGCCTGGGCCATTCTCCAAGTCCAGATAAGGCTTCTGCCTCCACCCCTTCCCAGCCTGGCAGGAGAATGGGGATACCGGGAACTGGAGGGTGAGCCTCACTTCCTGGCTGCTTCTTGCCTGGCAGCGCTTACAGAATCTCCGGGGACAGCAGGGGGGCAAGAGGGACTGACACCCCCTCCCAACACACACGGCAACTCTCTGGCAACTCGGATTCTAACACCATATCTAACTGCCCAGCGTGGGAGTGCTGAGAAACTCTGAGCTCTAAAACCTGCAGCTGCCATTTCCAGGCTGGCTGGACCCTTTTCTTCCTATTCTGAAAAGACGCAGATCTGCCCCGACCCAGGCTCCCCGCTGCTGAGACCTGCTGGCTCCTTCAGCTCTCGAGGGACAGGAGATAGCCACCTTCCCCGTGATGAAGCCATGGGACCAAAAGCAGCGGTGATGCTGGGCCAAGCCTTCAGTGGGGCACTTTCGGACCCAGGCCCTCTCTGGGCCATGTGGTGGTGTGGTGCGGTGTGATGTGGTCTGGTGCAACGGCAGCTGGCCACCATGGGAGTTATTCCAGGAGTGCCGTAGCTTTGTTTTTCTCCTGCCCCAAAGCACTGCAGATGCCACCAGACTCCACCCTGTTCTGCCTCAGGCCCTCTGCCAGGGCTAGTCCGAAGGATTTAGGGTAGTCCTGAGCCTTCTCTAATCCTGCCCCTAACTGCTACCATCCTAAATCCTGGCCCCACCTGCCCTCACTCATCTGGGGTGGTGGGAGGAGCTGCTTCCTGCCTTAGCCACCCCTCGTTAAAAAAATAAGTAAATTCCGATTGAACACCAAGGTGCGCCCGGCACTGTGCCGGATGTTTCCCGCACGTTATTTCGTTATCCTGAGGGTGCCGTGCGGACCCAAAAGCCCCTCTGTGGTTGCAGACACGGCCGTGTGCTCCGGTCCCTACCCGCACTGCCCCCGCACAGGGGCTCGAGCCGGCCCTTACCCGTAAGGACAGGGTGTCTTTGCACTGCAGGCTGATGCCGCACTCGTCGGTGATCTCCGAGAGGTCTTCATCCTCGAACTCCTCCAGGCTGATGTCGTGGGTGAGCCTGGTGGGACAGGAAGTCGAAGTTACAACCCAAGGGCACTGCCAAGCCCCTGACACCTCCGTTACCTCTTCCAAGGAGCAGACCGCAGTCCCGCAGTCCTGGAAGACAGGACTTGGGGGACCAATGCCAGAGGGGGCCAATGGGCAGGAAGAGAGTGAGGGGCTTGTGCCAAGAGGCAGTCCTTCTGGGCGGCAGCGGGAAGAGGCGCTAGGTGACTCCAGCTCCTCCAGGCTGGGAGCTGTCCATCCCCTTGCCAACCGGGAGGCAGTGCCTGGAAGGCCCGACCACTCGGAGCCTCAGCTCCACCAGAGAAAGGCCTTCCAGGGTCACGCAGGTGTCACAGCCAGTTTACTCAGACAGTGCAGAGTTGAGAAGAAACCCCAAGGGATGCCTGGGGCAGCCCCTGCAGCAACAGCCCCAAGGTACTGGCAGAGGAGTGGAGAGGGCTAAGTCACCTCCAGCCTCAGAGGAGTGTGCCATGCCGTGCCCCCAAACCCTGGACAGCCTGTGCCTCTTGAGCCCCGGGAACTAATGAGGGGAACTCTGGTTTCACTTCCACCTGCTCTGGGAGAGGCTCAACCCCTAGTTGTGTTCTTAGAGTCTCCTTCCAACCCCACGATCTTCTCCTGGCCCGCCATAAGGACCCTGAGCGGGTGCTGCCCAGAGGGGGCGGGGAAGGCTACCCAGGGCAGAGCTGTTGGAAGGTCAGTAGGCAGCAGACCAGAGCCCTGGGGTGCCTCAGCACTCACCGGCTGCCCTGGAACCCCCTCCCAGGGGCAGGGCCGGGGCCGCCCCTGCAGCGCCCCCCCGTGCCCCCGC